CAAAGCCCAGGCAGCCCCTGGGTCCCCAGCCTCCCCACTTCCTGGGAGCTGCTGCACAAAACCACAAGCAACAGGAGTTCACTCTTTCCCGGTCCTGGAGCCGGAAGTCCAAAACCAAGGTGTCGGGGTACGCTCCCTGTGCAGCCTGCCATGGCAGGGGGGTGGGGTGGGGGGTGGGGACAGCACCTGTCCCATCATTGGCACTTTCCTCCTCTTATGGCGACACCAATCCCTGGACTCAGGGCCCATCCTATGACCTCATTTGACCTTGATCACACCTGCAAAGATCTATTTCCCAAGAAGGCCCCATCCGCGGGACCGGGGTTAGGACTTGATCGTATCCCCTAAGGACGGGGGAGACGGTTGCTGGCCTTCCCCCCCGAGGAGCCCAGGGGCCCCCAGGACCACATGAGCTTTCTCCTCCATCTGCTCTCCCTCCTGCCTCTGTGGGGACTGAACACATTACTCCAGCACAAACTCGAAACTCAGTGCTGTCTAAAGGCCAAGATGGACGACCCGGCCTCCACCTCCCCTGGACGTTAGACTGACCCCCTCCCTGACCCTCAACCTTCTTCTTCCTGGCCTGCCCTTGGCCACCCAGCCAGGGCCTTCAGTGCTGGCCTGCACCTGGGCCTGACAGTAAGAGGGGGGGCCTGCTCTGAGGACCCCACCCTCTCCACTGTCACCCATGGGAAGTTCACCCCTCATGGAACCAAGGCCCAACCTCTTTTCTGCAGGACAGGACACTGTGGTGATGTCACCTTCAAGATCTGGGGCCACCAGTACAGCTGCGTCAGCCTGGAGGCGTGTAAGAGGGAAGAGCCTTTACTCTATTATGAGTTAATCACTCTGAGGGGGGCATTGCCAGACTTCCCTGGTGGCAGAGTGGATAAGAATCCGCCTGCCAATGCAGGGGACACGGGTTCAAGCCCTGGTCTGGGAAGATCCCACATGCCGCGGAGCAGCTAAGCCCATGCGCCACAACTACTGAGCCTACGCTCTAGAGCCCGTGAGCCACAACTACTGAGCCCACATGCCACAACTACTGAAGCCCGTGTGCCTAGAGCCTGTGGTCCACGACAAGAGAAGCCACCAGGATGAGAACCCCGTGCACTGCAACGAAGAGTAGCCCCCGCTCGCCGCAACTAGTGAAAGCCCGTGCAGAGCAACGAAGACCCAACGCAGCCAAAAAATATACATATAAATAAATAAATAAATTTATTTGAAAAAAAATAAAAGAGGGACATTGCCTATAGCTAAAATTATACATGATGGCCCATCCCAGGGAACCCCGCCTCCCAGGTAATGAGCGTTAAGGTAAAATACCTTTGTTTAGCTCCCAGGAAACCTCCTGACCAGCCCACCTGTGAGGAAAGAAATTCACATCCCTCCCGAGCCTGGCCTGCCAGGGTGGGATGGGAGCTGGGATCCTCGCTGGGACCACCTGAGCCTGCATCTGGCCAGCTGCCCCCTCTCGGGGTCCCAGGCTTCCAGGAGCCTCCACGGAGCATCAGGCACGAGGGCCCCTGGAAGTTAAATCCCCGGAGAGAGGCTGCCTAGGGCGCCACAGCGCGGTGTCTCCTCTGATTTTCCTGGGCGAGAATCCAGATATAGGTTCCTGTCTGGCTCTGCTGGTCCAGCTGAAGGGTCAGAATGACCAGACTGCCATGTCCGGGGATAGGGCCTGGGAGGGGGCTGGCCAGCACCCAGGGCCGGGCCGTGGCCGGCAGGGAGGGACTTCTGTTCCTTAAGATGTAACTTGCAATTCCCTGGCTTGGTTCGACCTGGCATTGGGCTCTGTCCAGTGTCCGAAGCCAAATCCCTGGGTCTCACCTCAGCCACATGGCAAGGGAGGGAGGGAGGCCGGGTCTGGCCATCCTGCCCCTTGGGACACGGAGCCTGGGGCACTGTTCCGGAGCCCCTCCCAGGGCTGGAAAAAGTTATCACATCTCATGTTCTCAGGGACATCCTGGTCAACGCTGAGTGACAAGTGTCCATGCTGGGCAGGGCACAGAGCTCCAAAGACACGCTCACGGCCACCAGCCCACACCCTGGACTGAATGACTCCCAGCTCGGCGACCAGACAGAGACAGGGCCCACAGAGCGAGGCTGACACACACACACACACACACGACCCCCCCGACCTGTCTCCATGTCCCCAGGAACACACACATAGACACAGACACACACACACACACACACGACCCCCTCGACCCCTCCCCATGTCCCCAGGAACACACACACACACACACACACACACACACACACACAGAGCTGAGGCCTATTGGCTGTGGGCTTCGGGTCCTGAGAACCAGGCTGGGTGGCCCAACTCAGGACCCTGCTCCAGTGCATCCCAGGTCCAATGACTTCATGTCTCTGAGCTCAGTCCCCTTCTGTGATATGCCACCCACCACGGTCTGGCCCGGGGTTGCTGCTAGGGTCTGAGCCACGCTCGGCAGGTAACCAAGACCAAGTCCTCACGGCCAGGGCTCGGCAGCTGTTGCAGATCTGCATGGGGGCAGGTGTGCGCTGCTCTGGGGCAGACGCCAAAGCAGGGGAAGCTTTCGCCCAGAGCCCCCTGGGCCCAAGGCCGCACGCCTGGCATCTGACAGCCCTGCTGTCCACGTCAGTTACACCACTCACAGCTGCCTGCTGCCGCTTCCCCCACAGCAGAGGAGAGAGCAGCCTGGCTGCCGAGCTGCCCCTGTCCCGCTGCCTCAGCCCACAGCTGACTCTGAGGACACTGGAGGGGAGGGGCCCAGGGCGAGGCAGACGACCAGCAGGCTGGGGGCACATCCACAATCAATGAGGAAGAGGCACCGCGCTCCCGCGGGAGACCGATATTTATTTACCAACAGGGGTTTTGTGCCAGGCCCTGTGCACACCCTCCCATGCAGTCCTTACGAGAGAGTGCAGAGTTATACCAAAACTCGGTGGCTTACAACAGTGGCAAACAAGGATGAACTCACCCCGTTTCTGTGGGTCGGCCGGCTCCCTCCTGAAAGTGCACGAAGGTGTCGTGGGAGCTGGGGAGCCCCTACCCAGGCGGCAAGGGACCAGGGCAGTCCTGTGGTGTGTTCATGACAGAGCCTTGGAGACACACGGGACCAAGGCCGCCTGGACTCCAGGAGAAGCAGCAGCCACCCCACCTCTTGAGAGGAGGGGCGGCCAAGAACTCTAGGGCCGTGATTTAAAGCTGCCGCGTCCCCAGGTGACAGCAGGGGCTCACGTGCAGGCTGAGGAGACTGTCCAATGAGAACTGGGCCAGGCGTCCGCCTGACTCTGGACCAGTGCTTAAGTCAGTGACCACTGCAGGCTTTTGCAAATCCCAAACCCACCCTCCGAGAATGGGGGCTGCTCCGAGCAGTGTGCTGCAGGCGACTTCTAAAGACAATGAGGCCCACGTGCCTCCGTGGGGGCCCCAGGCCATGGCGCACCTTCTGGGTCCGCCTGCTGAGAACCCCACGTGCAGTGCTGAAGAGCTGGGGGCTGGCCGGCCGCCGGGGTTTCAGCCCAGCCCTTCCTGGGCTTCCCTCCCTGGGATCCCATCTGGATTCCAGAGCCCTTGATGGAGAACCTTGTACTGAAACCTTGTACCTTGTACCTCCAGGAATTGCAAGAGGCTGGCGGGTCCTGCTTCTGCCACTGGCCAGCTGTATGACCCTGGGCAAGTCACTTAACTGTTCTGAGCCCTGCTTTTCTTGTCTGTGAACTGGGCGTATTTGCCATCCTTCTGGGCCAGAATCTTCGGGTGGCAGGGGACAGAAAGAAGCCCCACCCCCAGCCCCAGCTGGCCTGAGCAGAAAGGAAAGAGCGGATCCACGTGCCCCCAGCGTCATTTCTCTGTCCACCTCCTCTATGCCGGCTTCCTCCTCAGGCGGGCCTTGTCCATGTGGCGGCAGTGGTCATCAGCTGCTCCTGGGCCCCATCCCATCAGCTCAGCAACCTGCAGGAAAGGCTCAGGGCCCAGTCTCATTGGCCAGCCAGGTGGCGTGCCCACCCAGAGCCACTCACAGTGGCCAGGGAACAGCACGCTCGCTGATTGGCCGGGCCTGGGTCGTGTCCACCCTGGGATTTGGACAGTGGTCCAGGCCCATGAAATACATGGACTGAGAGACGGCCCCCAAAGGAAGGAGGTGGGAATTGATGCCAGGCCGGCAGGAGCAGTTGGTACCCGCCTGAACCGCCCCTGGGGCAGTACTTTGTTACTCTACTGCCTGTGGGCAGAGCTGGCCACCTTCTCAGGCTGGGCACCAGCTGGTAAAATCACCACATCTGTGCAGCTGAGCCAGCTGATACCTTCCTGCCCCCACCTCCCTCAGCAGCCCCCCTATACCTGCACGTGCCCGGCCGAACCACCCACTGGCCGGGCCCCACGACTGCCCCCGTCGTCCTCGCGTCCACACCTGCTCTGGCTCCAGGAGGGCACCCTCTGAGGGCTGCCCCCGCCCCCCTTGACGCCCGGCTGCTCTCTGCTTCTTGTTGGCCAGAGGTGAGAGGTTGGGGCCTCACACCTCGGCCCCTCCCTGCTCCACGTGCTCTGGGAGAGGCTACATCCCACCAGGCGACAGCTCCCGGGGCCATCACGGCTGCCCCCATGCTGTGCATGGACCCCTCCCATTCTTCTTGGCTTCTGCCTCCCCAGGGAGCTCAGCTGACCAGCCTCTGCTGGCTTCACCCCTGAGCCGGGCCCAGGAACTGTCCACGGCTTTCTGCCACTGAAATGGCAACCCACTCCCACAGGACTCAGCGGCTGGGCTGCTGCTGGCTCACCCTCGCTGCTCGGGACCATGTCACCGCCGCTCTGCAGCCCTGCTGCCTCCCAGATGTGGATGGAAGGGCTGCTGCTTGGGTGTCCTCGCATCCCGGAAGAGACCAGTATCGGCCCTTCTGGAATTCAGCGGTAGCCAGGTTACCATGGCGATGCCCACTATCCCCGCTGAATGGGAGATGAATCAGGAGCTAAAAATAGGCCCCCAGAGTGGATGGATGGAGGGATGGAAGGGTGGGTAGGCCTGGATTCAGGGTCGGAACAGTTTGTTTCTCCCCGACAAGATAATTTAGGGGAAATCTCAATTGGAAATCCACCCCCAGAGGGCTGGGAGGCGCTGGCAGGTGGTGACCCCTCCCCTGACAGAGCCCATAGCACGCAGCCCCCAGTGGGTCCTCGTAGAGCCCAGTGTACGCAGCCGCTCCCCACCCGAGCCTGGCCAAGAGGAGGCTGCTTGGGGCGGGGCGGCCATCGCACCGTCTGGCCCTTCCCACGGTCAAGCAATGGCCCCCCGCACCCTTTCATTCCTGGGAGGGCCCTTGGTTCAGTCCAGGAAGGAGCTGGTGAGCCTGACGAGAAGCTCCCGGCTCCAGTGTGGGAGCTGCAGGGCACACATGCAGCGCTCCATCCCTCCAGGGGTTGCAGGCCTCTGCTGGGAGGGCAGTAAAGGCACAAAGCCGCTGCAAGGACAAGATGACACTTTATTCTGCCTAAGCCTCCTGCCCCCACCCCCAGAGACCCCACAGACACAGAGAGACATGGGGATGCAGCTGGGACAAAGAGGAATCTGGCTATAGGGATGGGTGTCCGGGGGGGTCTGGGTTTTCTCAGAGACAGGACGCTGCCTGCTGCCCCCTCCCCCATGAAGATCAGATGCAAAAGCAGGAATCCCCCAGACCCCCCCACCCACCCACAAGGCTCAGGCAGGGTCAGGCGTGCCCAGGGGGACCTGTCCCTCCTTCAGCCCTGGGGCCCGGAGGGAGGCTGGCCCACCAGGCAGCAGGGTCACAGGAGCCAAAGGTGGGCGTGGGCTGGGGGACGGAAGGCCCCTGGGTAGTTGGGGTGGAGGGTGCTAGAAACAGATGGTGGACACAGTCCTGGCCGGCCCCTACCGTATGTCCTCACGGAGCGGAGCCCGGGCTGGTCTTGCCGAGGTCTCTCAGAGGCATTCCTTGTGGCTGTAATACTCAACCAGCTGCCTGGGCACCTCAGCAAGCACACTCTTGGCCAGCGCCACGGGGGACGCCTGTGGGTGGGGACAGTGTGCCTCCAGCCGGCTTCCCATCCCCCAGCCCCCTCCCCTAGAGCCGCCATTCACACCGTGACCTCCACCCCCTATGGGTTGTGCACCAGCTCCTGGGACCACGACCAGGAATTCACCCAGTGGGCGGCCGGGTGAGCTTGCGCTCACGATGAGAACGCGGTCGCTGGGCAGTCCGTCCACGCTGGCACTGCGGGTGGCACAGGTGGGCCCCTCTGGATCGGTGTGACCCTGCTCTGGGCACAGGGCAAAGTGGCTGAGGCAGGAGGGGACGCCCAGGTCCCCAGTGAAGTTGTGAGTGTGTGTCCACGGGACAGGCAGTTCTTTCCACATCACAAAGGGAGCGGGGAGCTGCCTGAGAGGAGCCCTGCCCCCCGGGGCATCCACGTGACACTTCTCTATTGCAAAAGTTTCTAGGGGCCGAAAGCTGCTCAGAACGGCGAGGGGCCCGGGGACCCGATGCGCTGCCCGCGGGACCCGCCCGGCCACCCGCCCAGCACTCACGATCTTGAGCTCCCAGAAGGGCACAAACTTCAAGATGTCAGAGGGCAGGCTCGCCCCGTGGGGAGCACAGGACACCGCTGTCGCCATCGAGGACCTGCATGTCGGTGAAGTCGGTGTTGCCCATCCCCACGATGATAGACACGGGCAGGTGGAAGGCGCGCATGATGGCCTCACGTGTGTCCGCCATGTTGGTCGCCACGCCGTTTGTCAGGATCAGCAGGATGTAGTATTGCTGGGGCCACAGGGACCCTTCAGGGCAGCTGCGTCTCCCCCCACTCAAACTCCAAGTCCACCAACCAGATGGCCTGGGGGTGACCATGGTTTCCAAGCTTTTCTAAAAGCATATTTGCTGAAGCGTAACCCACACACGCACGCGCGCGTGCACGCACACACACACACACACACACACACACGTAATCACAATGAACTGTGAACACATGCTCTCTTTGACCCTGAAGCAGATACTGGAACGGCCACACCTTATAGATGGGGAGACCGCAGCTGGGAGAGCCAGAGTTGACCCAGGTCTGAGGCCAGAGGAGGAGAGGTCTGTGGGCCCTGGGTAGGAAGGGGCTCCCACACCCTGAAGAGTCGCTGAGATTCAAGGAACAGAGTTTGGAAAGGACACAGTCTGGTCCAGCCTGGCCCGGTGCCCAGTGCATCTGCAGAAGACAGACTGGGACTTGTTTCAAATAAAGGTCCATTTCCAGTGTGAAAAAAACAAAACCACTCAGAAATCGTTACTAAAAATCTGGATGAGAGAAAACATACAAGAGAAGAAGGAATCACCCTGGAGGTGCAGCCCCTGGAAGGCGGGCCGGGCTGTCCACCAGTTGGCCCAGTCCCTGGCCCAGAGGGCACCCAGCACCGTGATGTCTCCAGAGAAAAGGAGCCAACCGACAGCGCAACAGGGGCACCCTCTCCCAGAGGGCTCCTCTCTGAGCCTGCAGACCAGGGGGATGGGCAGTCCCCTGTCCACGGCTGGAGCACCCCTGCAGTGCCCAGCCCAGCCCTCAGCCCCACATGCCCTCCTCCTGCCCCCCAGAGTAGGGCCAGTTCTCCATTAACATCTCACAGCCCTGCGTTTGCCAGTAGCGCAAACTCCACACCCTCACCGCCTGGAACAGAAGCTTCACCTGAGCCAGGGGACCACTGCAGTCAGGGTCCCCGGAAGCGTCAGCAAGGAAGGACAGGGCTTCTCCATGGGACAGAAAGACGGGTGGGGGCAAACTTCAGGTGGAGGCGCAGGGAAGTGGGTCCCGCGACACGCGCCCAGCATCCACCCGCATCCACCTTGCTCGGCTAAGATGAAGGGTCCGAGCCCCAGCAAGGACAGAGGCAGGCCTGAGTGCCCCCAGAGCCTGGCCGCCCGCCCCCCCCAGAGGAATGAGAGGGGATATGGAGGCCACCACAAGGGCAAGGTCAGCAGACTCCAGCCAGGGGCCCTACTGGACACAAACGCGGGTTTCTTCAGCAAGGGGACCGCGTGAGAGAAGGCAGGGGTCCCCAGCAGGACAGCCACACCCACTGTCAGGTGGAGGCCCTTATCTTAACCCTGTTCCTCCTGGAAAAGCCACCAGGACGTGGACGAGGCAGCTGGACACTTAATACTCGGGAATGGACATCGTCTTTAAGTGTGATGATGGCATTGGAACCCTACTGTTTCTCTTTCAGAGGTTTATACTGATGTTTACAGATGAAATTATGTGTCTGGGACTTGGTTCAAAACAATAGGAGAACATGACAACTGAATGTAACCCTTAACTCCAGACTGGATTCTGTGCTAGAAGTAATATTGTGATAGACTTATTATGGGGGCAATGAGTGAAATTGGAGTATATTCTATAGGTTAAAGTATTGGATCTAAATTAAACTACCTGAAATTGATATTTGTGCCGCGGCTATAGAAGAGAACTCCCGGATCTGAGGTATAAAGGGCAATGCTGCAACCCTGGCTTTGGGGCTCCATGCCGGGGAGAGCTGCCCCCACACAGGGCGAGGGACAGTCGGACAACCTGACCACGGGCAATCAGAGGCTGGGCGATGGCAAGTCACAAAGATGGAGCAAGGCTGAGAGGAAGAGCCCAGATCAGGAGACCAGGACAGAGGATAGGCAGGTCCTGGGATGGCAGGGAACATGGACACGCGGGGACAGACGGACGTGGGGGAGAGACAAGAGGACGGGGTCGCCTGCAACGTGGGGCTCGAAAGCTGGACCGTGGTCGTGCACAGAGTGTCCTGGCCGCGAGCAGACCAACGTGGAGAACGTGGGGCGGGGGCGTTCAGGTCAGCAGCCTGCTCTCAAATGGTTCAGAAAGAAGACAATAGTAGCAAATATAGGTGGAGGCGGGAGGTGGGGGGAGAAAGAGAGAAGAGGAGGAGGAAACAGGGCAGGGAGTCAATGACGGGTGAGTCTAGGGAAGCAGGTGCCAAAGGTGCTGTACTGAAATTATTCTTCCATAAATTTGATGCTTTTCTTCAAAATAAAAAGTTAAAAGAAGGCAACAGAGTAGCCGTGCCTACAGCAGCATGAACAGGTCTACAGAACATTCTGCAGCAGAATGCAGCCTTCAGCACAGTATTATTTGGGTAAATTAAAAATACAGGGAAGTCCCTGGCAAAGCAAACAAAATGACAATATATGTACGACAGAACTGTAAAGAACAAATCAGCTTCCAGGGTGAGAATTCTGTGCCCGAGAGTAGAGCTCAGCCGCTGGCTCTGGGGCCCTTGGCATCTCCCAGCCGGGTCCTCACTCGGTCCAGACACACCGGCCTCCTGCCCACTGCCCCGGTTCCCTCGGCCTCCTTGCCGCCACGCCCCATCTCGCCCACAGTGGGCCCTGGCCCTGCCCTGTCCCCCAGCAGCAGGCAGCCCTTCCTCACGCGCCCAGCCCCAGCACCTAGAGCTGGACCCTGGGCAGGCAGTTCCGGCAGGCTTTCTCCACGCCCCGGATTCCGGTGGGGGAGGGGGGTGAGCCCAGCCCCGCTGCAGCCCCACCCCGGGCGCCTCGCGCTCCTACCTTCACGCTCACCATCCTCAGGGTTGAAATTGATGGCAAAGTCATGGGACACCTGGGCAGGCACAGAAGGGACTGGTCAGTGGGTCCCCCTCCCAGGACCCCACACCCCCACCTACTGGGAGAGGTAGGTCTGGAGCCACCAGGGCCACCACGTCAAAGATCCTTCGCACAGAGGGCGGAAGGACAGACCAGTGCCGGGCATCGCTCCAGCCCTGGATCCAGGGGGACCTGAAGCTTCTGAGTTACATTAGCCAATAAATCCGCCGCCCCCCCCCCCCCCCCCCAGTTTTCTGCTTAAGTCAGTTGAATGTCCTTTCTAACTGGAAGGTTCCAGACTAATGGTCCCCTCTGCCTGACAGGGCTGCAGTGCTGGGAGGTCAAAGGTCAGCCCTCTGGCCAGCAGGCGGTCCCTGCAACCTGCCCACCGCCGGTCACATGGTATAGCTGGTTCCCAGCAGGAGAGGCAGCAGCCAGGGGTCCTGGGACCCGGGCTCTCCTACCTCACACTTGGGAGGGATCCGGGCTCCGAACCCCAAAGCAGAGAGCCTCCTGTTGCTGGAAGAGAGACGGCCCCATCAGCCAGGGTCCCTGATCTCCCTGGGGGTGGGTGCGGGTACTTTGGAGAGATACTGACAGAGCCAGGAGACCAGGATGAAACTCTACGGGGTCCAGGCCCCGCCCCGAGCCATGTGGGGGAAACTGAGGCCCAGAGCCGTGAAGAAGCCACCCAGCGTGCAGGCCCCCATCACCTCCCAGGCGAGGGCTCCGCCCTGCCACGGCCTCAGTTCACGGTCTGTGAGGTGGGATTTGGACGCCATGTCTGTGTGAAGAACCAAGGGGACCATGGTTGGGGAGCGGCCCCACCTCCCATCTCGGGCCCGGCAGGTGCTAACCCACACCCCACGCAGAGCCTGGGAGGCGGTGGGCTGGGGGCGCTGGGCTGGCACACCTGTCGTAGTCCTGGCAGGTCTCACCCACAGCCGCCAGGGCCTGCAGTACTCGTGGGGCTGGAAGGGGGTGATGTAGTGCAGGGAGCAGCTGTTCCTAGGGTCCCCAGTGGAGGCTGTGAAGTCAACGGCCACCTGCAGGGGCCACAGTGCGAAGACCCAGGAACCCCTCCCTCCTGGGCTGGGGTGGGCACCTGCACCCCCATATGACAGGTAAGGGAAACTGAGGCCTGGGGAGCCACTCGCCCAGGGCTGCAAAGAAACCCGGAGGTGTAAGCCCGAGGGCCCAGCGCTGTGTTGGCGGGATCACAGAAGGGACGTGCCAACCCCAAAGCTCCTGGGTCCCCAGGGTTGGCCAGCGCCTCAGGGCAATACCAGCCAGTAGCTGCAGGGAGCCAGCGTGGTCACAGCGGACCCTCGGCACCTCCTTCTACAGTGGGGGGCTGTGGAGGTGGGGGTGGGGGAGGGGCTAGGCAGGGCTGGGGAGGAGCAAGCCCTGAGCTGGGGTCCCTGTGTGCCCCCCGCCCAGTCACTTTCCTCAGGGCATTCTGGCTGTCACGAGAAGGAGTGCAGAGGCCACACAGAAGGGACCTGTAGGCCCTGACGAAGGGCCTTTTCTGCGCCCATCCACCCTGGGTGCCAGACGGGCTCTGAGTTACATCCAGGGTGGGGAGGGGCTGCTGGGAGCCCTGGGGTGGGGCCCGGGCGCTGACACCCATCCTGCTGGGATGCACCCAGCAGGCTGTGCAGACAGTCCGTGGACTCACCGTGAAGTGGTCTGGCAGCCGCCCATGATGTAGTCCCGGAACAAGTACGCCCTGTAGAACATCCGGGACCCCCACCCTGGGAAGACTGAGGCCAGGGCTTCAGAGTCGGGACCTCTGGGGCTCCTGGGACATGCCCTCCCCCAGGAGCCCAGCAGTCTCAGTCCCCTCCTCTCAGGCCCTCAGGCCGCCTGAATGCCCATCTTCCCCCCACCATCTATTCTCTTCTGTCTCCCCCTCCCCTCCATCCCTCCCACCTCCACACACTGGGGGCACCAGACCTCTGGGATGGGGGCCCTTGAGGGTCCATCTGACTACAGGGGGTTCCAGGCAGTGGCCGGCCACCCCAGCCCGGATCACCCTCTGCAGAGCTGAGGCAGGAGCACCCCCTCCACCCACTGCGGGGGGGAGGGGCTGCAGGCTGGGCCGAGGCTCACCTTCAGGTCTGCCAGGATGACCACCCCAGAGTTCTTGGAACTGCGCTTCTCCTGCGTGTACTTGAGGTTTACACAGTCCCACTGGGCCTGGGGGACAGGGACAAGCAGAGACCCCCACCCCAGAGTGCCAGCACCCAACACCCACCCCAAGGGGCAGGGGAGCACTGAAAGCCCTGCCCCACCGGCATTTGTCACTTCAACTTTAACACGGGCTGGTGGTCCCTACTCCAGCCACCTGGTGGGTGTGGGTGTCCTGCTCTGTCACCATCTTTAGCCTCTCTAAAACCATCACAACAATTTCTGGGGCAACCCAGCGCAGGGCCAGCGCCCCAGCGCATTCTGGGGGACAGGCGGGCCCTTCCTGCTCTCACCTGGTCCTCCCGCAAGGCATTCTGCATCTCCACGAAGGTGGTAGAGAATTCTGCGATGAAGTCGTGCTTCCCGCAGGAGTCATAATCCCAGACGAGGCCCTGGGGACCCCGGGACCCCTCAGCCCGCCTGCCCCTCTGAGGCCCCCAGCCTGGGTGTCTCCATGCCCCTGCAGCAAGGTCGCCCCCTTCCCACCATCCTTCCCCACGTACCTCAACTCCAGGAAGGTGTGGCCTGGGGGGACTCGCCCCACCCCAGCCACGCCCCCAGCCGCCCCATCCCCTCCCCAGCACCCACCCTCCGCCAGCCAGCCCCGCCCCGCCCCGCCCACCATCAGAGGCCGAGGCTCCTCACGTCTGCACAGGCTGCTCAGAGACACCTTGAAAGGCTGCCAGGTGGGGCTCAGGTCGTTCTTCACCACCTGCGGACCGGGAGGGGCGGCTCAGGCGGCCCTGCCTCACTCTCCGGGCGGGACCCTGAGAGCCCAGAGCTGCATCTCCGAAACTCGTTCCTTCCAGAGCCACCTTCCTAACACCCCACATTCCTGGACCACCTGAACTTCTTTTTCCTTAAATAGCCTTTTTTTTAACTCAGATTAATTTATCTCAGAAAGAAACACTTTCCGGGGTTTCCCTGGTGGCGCAGGGGTTGCGAGTCCGCCTGCCGATGCAGGGGACACGGGTTCGTGCCCCGGTCCGGGAAGATCCCACATGCCGCGGAGCGGCTGGGCCCGTGAGCCATGGCTGCTGAGCCTGCGCGTCCAGATCCTGTGCTCCGCAACGGGAGAGGCCGCAACAGTGAGAGGCCCGCGTACCGCAAAAAAAACAACAAAAAAAGTGCCTTCCCACTGGAGTAACTGCAATCTTGTTTTACGGGCAGGCAGTGATAAGAAATCCGGACTCTTGATTCTAGGACAGAAGCTCCATGCCCCCTGGCCGCTCTCTGTTCAAAGGGGTATGGCGGTTTCGGAGGTCAAGACGCTACAGCCGTGGGGAGCCAGGGAGGTGCAGGGAGGGCCGGGGTGACTCCTTCCCCTGTCCTTTCACGCTGTCCCTGGGTGCTGGCCAGGGACCCCTCACCTCCGTCCTGTACACCAGCTGCTTGCTCTGATCATCGTTGATTCGGCGCAGCTCCAGGAGGGGGTCCGGCTTGCTGAAGAGGCCCTGCAGGAGGAGCAGAGGGTGTGCTTGGCAAGCGGTGGGGTCCAGGCTCTGCCACCTCCTGGCTGTGAGGGCAACAGCCTCCCCTCTGGAGCATCCCTGGCTCCCCAGCGCCCAGTTCCCACCCTGCCCCCCACCTGCCCCACCCCTGCTTCACTCTCCGTCCAGGGGAGGCAGCAGGCAATGCCAGGTCAGACCCCTGCTCTGTGCCCCTACCCTATGTGAGAAGCCAGCAGGACCAGAACTGAGTTCAGATCCAGTTCCTCCACTGTCTGGACGGGGACCTCCCTGAGTGCCCGTCACAGGGAGCTGAGGATGAGCTGACGGCAGCGACACATACAGGACCCTGACAGCAGCACAACCGCCTGCACGGACAGCCCCACCCACGGCTCTGAGTGCGTCCCACTCCTCAGCCACCTGTCTCCCTGTGGACACAGTGTAGCTCTGTCTACACCTCCTGACAGGAGGGAAAGCTGGGCCCCAGGGGGGCGCCCCTCACCTTGTCATCCAGTTTCCCGGCACGGAGGGAGAGCTCCGCATGGCCTTTATTCCCAGAGATGTCTCTGGCTATCGCCTAGGCGAAGGGAGAGCGCCAAGGCTCCCGGCTGGTCAGGAGGGGTTTGACCCCACCCTTCCCTGCCCAGCTGCAGCCCAGCCTCGGGGAGGTGTCCGGACGCCCCGGCCTCGGCGAGGAATGGGCGGGGGTCTGCAGGGGGCGGGGCTGGTGGAAGGCGGGGCCTCACCGTGCTGGGGGACTTGCCGGCGTTCCTGCTGACCTTCAGCAACAGTGCTGGGGTCACCTTCTTCTGGGCCACGATCTGGAAGTCAGAGGCTCAGGGAGGGGTACGCACCTGCTCCCCTGAGGACCCTAACCCCGTCCTGGGTCTCCCTGTCTCCTCCCCAACGCCCCCACTCACCCTCGGTGGCCAGGTTCCCCAAACCGACCCCCCAGGGCACCACGCCCTCGGCGCCTGGCAGCGGCCAGCCCAGTGACCCTCTCTCGCTCCACCAGGCCCTCAGCTCGGCACGCCTCACCGCCTCCTAGGCCCTCCCACCGCCCACGCATCAGGTGAGGAAAGGGAGGCTCGGGGAGGAAGAAGACCGCCGAGTCACGCTGGTGAGCGCCTGTGTGCAACCTGCAGCAGCAGCCGCGCCCTGGGAACCCATCACCCTCTACGGACCAGGTCGAGGACAGCGCAGCCCCTACCACAGCCCAAGGCCAGCGAGCGAGCGGCCATGGGGCTTCCCAGCCCCACCCAGGACCCCCAGGCTGCTCCCTCCCTGGGGTCTCAGCCCCCTGCCCAGCCCTCCCCCTCCTCTCAACAATCTCCCCGGGGACTGCATTCCTCTTTGGCCTATAAGCCCCTGACTGGGCTAAGAGTTGATCCGGGAATGCCGTGTGCAGCCAAGCAACACTGGCTCACCAGGAGCAGCGCTCAGACTGGTCTGCAAACAAGATAGAGGACGACCACCCTCATGGCTGCTGGACGACCAGGTACTTTGTACGTGTGGGGACTGCCCCCTTCCCCTGGCCAGCGAGTCCTCAGCTGTGGCCGTGGTGGGTGAGGGCAGTGCTGACCCTCTTCGCCCTGCCCCACACAGGATCTTGTCTGACAAGCTGAGACAGAGGGACACAGGACAACCCCCCCCGCAACAGGAGGTGCCTGGCTAACAGCTCAGAGCACACAGGGACATTCTGTGCAGAAGAGAAACCCATCCCAGGTGGGGGAAGCGGAGGCCAAAAAGGGCCACGTGCCAGGCCCCCCGATTCTCCCATTTGCAGACTCACTTCTGGGCTCTCCTGACTCATGGGATGGTTGCTTTAGCTGGTTTGACAAGTGACCATGCTTCCTGTGAGCCCCGCAGCTCCCACGGAGGTGGCCTTGTCACGGCCCCAGTCTCCCATATGAGGAAGCAGAGGTCAGGGACTCGCTCAAGGGCGCAGCACTGGAATCTGAAGACCAGGTCCTAGCCTTTGGCCACTGATGGTAGTGCCCCTGACGGCCCCACAGATCTGGCAGTCCTGGGGGGGCCTTTCCCTAAAGCTTACGTGTATGTCCAGATGTGTGTCCATACATGTATCTGTGTATCCATGGATCTGCACCCACATGTGCATGCATGTTTGTCCGTGCATGCATGCCGATACACGTGTGTCCGTGCATGTGTGTCCCTGTGTGTTGTCCTCTTCCACGCTCACGAGAGCAGGTAAGAGGCCAACACTGGGTAGAAGCCTTCCTTCACGTGGGGCTGTGCCCTGCCTAAATCTTGGTCCTCTTAACTGATGGAAGGCTCTACCCTGCCGGCTCCAACCCAGGCAGCGATGGGGATGTCACACACAGGCTTCACGCTGGGTAAAAGGAGTCGGACACAAATGAGAACACACTGTGTGATTCATGGACATGAAATTCTAGAACAGGCAAAACTATTGGGGGAGGGGATTGAGAGGAACAGGGGACCTGCTGGATGACAAAAATGTCCTGTGTGATCTGGGTGATGGTCAGGTGTATAAAACTGTCTAAGCCCATCGATCCCAACCCTCAAGGTCTACACATCTTACTGTATGTAAATTACACCTCAATAAAAGACAGGCAGCCCAGAGCACTCACGAGAATCTAACGTGACACATCGAAGGTGTTCGGCTCAGAGCCTGCGCTAAGCTGTCGGGCTGGTGGCTGGTGGCAACAGCTCCCGTTACACTGACCACGGTAGAGCTAATTGGGAACGACCTCACCAGAGCATGCAGTGTCCCTCGGGTGGCAGCTGGACCTCAGACCGGTCACTGCCATGGGGAGAGACGAGGGAAGGGCTCCCTTATGTCATGGAAGTGAAAAAAAGCAAACTGCAGAACAGTATATGCCGTTTGTGTTTTTAAAAGTGTATCTACAGAGAAAAAACTACGTTCCTTTGCTCAGTTAAGAATAAATCTCTCCAGAAGGATGTAACGAACCTGGGGACGGGGCACGAGGGAGATACGTGGTCCAGGGTGTACCTGTTATACTTTCTGAATTTAGACCCGTATGGACGTATTACCCAGTTCAAAATTACATTTTTTTAAGTAAAAAATGTTTTAAGAGAAGGAGCTATGGAGTCAGAGCAGCTGGTACACGGTCTGTGTGTAATCACGCTGTCCCCAGGCCACCACTGCCATCGCACCGGCCCTCAGGACCAGCTGAGGTCTCCATGCTGCCCTCCTCCCTCTCCCTCCCAAGGGGACGGGCGCCCACCTGCCCCGAGGTGCACTCCATGCCCCCCAGAAGTCGTCATCCTGGCAGCTGAGGCTGCTGGGCCCGTGGGTGTCGTAGACCTCAAAGCACAGCTTCTGCACCTCCTCAAAGTAGTAGTCCAGTGTGAAGACCTTGGAGAAGGCCGGATGCAGGCTGCTCCGGACCACCTCGGTTCTGTCCACCTGCAAGCAGCCCTGGGTGAGCAGACCCCCGGGGTGGGGGTGGGATCTGTCCAGCTGAGCACTCCCCGAGGCCCTGTGCCCCGGCTCTAGCCCTCAGGGTCCCCCCTCTCCCACCCATCTGCCCTCGGGCGGTCTTGAAGGACTTGCTTCCAGGTCCTGCTGTGGGAAGACAACCCCTCCCCCTCGCCCCGCCCGCCACCTGCTGCTGCGATGCCCCAGGGGGGCATTGCCCAGACCCCTGGGCACCTCCCTCCCTGAGACAAAGGCAGTCCTCTGGCCCCCACAGAGGGCCTGCTCCATCCCCACACCACGGATGAGCAGGCAGGCTTAGAGAGGAGGGCGTGTCCAAGGGCCTTTGTGAGGTCACTCAATCAGCAGGGGGATTCCACCTGGACCCCAGTCTCCATGCGGAACCAGTACTCTCACCTCCCTTGATCCTCCAGGCCCCAGGTGTCTCTGCAGCTTTGCTGCACCAACCCCTCCCCTCCCAGGTTGGCAGGGCCGCCCGAGCCCCTGTGAAGCCATAGTCAGGACACCTGCCCAGGGCCAGATGGAACAAGGGACACTGTCCAAGTCTGGCTGTCCCCCTCCTGGGTTCCCCTGACCAGGAGCCACTCTGCACAGGGCTGGCCCTGGGCACCCAATACTGCTGCTCCCAGGATGGTGGCCTGCTTCCCTGGGGGAGTGAAATCTTTCATAACCCAACCTCAGCCCGCCATCCTTCACTTCTGTTCCACTCAGGCAGAAACAAGCTGCTGGGTCCAGCCCACACTTCACGGACCGCACAGACAAGGACACAAAGGTGGGACCTCGGGCCAGGGCAGGAGGGGGGGACCACGAGGACAGCTGCCCGAAGTCCCCAAAGGGGTGATGGCAGTGCAGCCAGGGAGGCAGGTGGCAGCAGGGTCGACCGGGCGGGCGGTCCAGCTGAGGGAGGCCTGGTTTTACTCGTGCCTGGCTCATCTGGGGGCTCTGAGGATACCCTTGGCAGGAGCCGCCTGGATGGTGCGCCCAGCCCCTCCACCCTCAGTCCCTTTCAACAGTGACCCAGCTTTACCTCCTCTGCCGGAGGCACCATCCTTCCTGGGGAAATTTTCAAAAGGGCAGGAACTTACCACGCAGCACCGTTTCATCAGTTCGTCCCCCAGCACTGTGCAACTGGGGCTTACAAAGGAGAGGAGCCCAGCTGAGGCACCACAGTTGGAGGGTGGGGACCAAGGCCTAACACACACCTTCCCACTGCCCCTCAGGTCCTCAGGCTCCCCAGATGTAACCCCCAAGAAAGCTCTGAGCCGTTCCCAGGAGGGTGGGCCCAGAGATGAATCTGGAAGGCCAGCCCTCTCCTCCTGGGCTGCAGGCCTTCACCAGGCCCTGGACCATGGTCCTCCTGTTGAGCAGTCCTCACCGCTACCCAAGGCTGACACGCACCCAACACGCTGCAGTGAGAGCCAGAGATCTTTCAGAAAGAAATCTCCACAAAGGTAAGATAGTTTGTTTTGGTTACTGCCATGTCCCTGCAACCTGGGACTGTGCCTGGCCCACAGCAGATAATAAATACTTGACGAGTGCCCGTTCTCTCTCCATCGATTTGTTCTGAGACAATTCCCCGCACGTCGCCTTCTACCTTCCCTGGCCCACCCACACCTGCTCCATCATCAGCTTCCGCCGTCCAGGTCCTCAGGACGGTCAGGCCAGGCAGGCCCTGGGCCGGAAGTGCGTCAGCTCATTCACTTTCCTCTGGTCTGGTTCTAAGCTACTGAGAACTGATTCTAGCTGAGGACACTGGGAAATTCCTGGAATTGGGCATGAACTGCTCTGGACAGAGGCTGCGGTTAGGAAAGGGAGGTCGTTGCCTCTCCTTTCCTCTGGACCTTTTGTGACGCAAAGACTGTATTTTCCTCCTGTAACGCCCAGAAAACATACAAGGAAAAAAATGGCAAGTGCAGCCACCTACGCGAGGCATCAAGGAAAGAGGACGTTCGCCCTTTGCACAGCTGCCCCTTAGTCTACTCTTTGGCTTGAACTAAGTTGAGTCAAGTGGGAAAAAAACCTAAATAACCTAAAATGACTATGGTTTCCCTGTAAACTACAACAATTTGAATCAACTGGGAGTTAGAATTTCAATTTTTTAGAAAAATATCACAATTACCTACATTTTAACAAAGCAACTACAGGATACAAAATCAAATTAAAATTCACTCTGGAGGGGTGACACTCCCATGGGTTAAAATGCAGTGATGTATACCTTCCCTCCAAAATAAAAAATACCATGTAACTTGAATATTAAACAAAAATTATTTGTAACTACCCAGACCGACGCTAGTCTCCTACAAATGCCCCAGCACTCCCTGGTGGCCACTGCAGGCACTGCGGGTGACACCAGCACACGTACTTTGGTTATCTGTCCAGGAGATGCACCTACAACCCACAAACAGTTCTGCCCAGATGGACACCGGCACAGTAGACCCCGGCCCCGCACACCCAGCCAGAGGCCTCTCTGCCCCCCAGCCTGTGAGCACCTCAGCCGGGGCTCCAGCCGACGGGCAGCTACCCTGCCCTCGAGTAGCTTAACTCCTTGCCAGGTCTCTGAGCACAAAGCAAATGAACCAGTGTCTCCAGGCTGTCCAGAGGCAGCCCCCCACGTGCCCTCTCTCACAGATGGCTCATCAGGCTCCAACCCCCAGGCCTCCACACCAGCTGACCTTTCTATGGCTCATGACTTCCAAATACACAAAGTGAGCATGGACGTCAAATAAGTACCTTATAAACTGTTAGCTTTAGAGATGAGAACAGTGGTTTAATAGTCCTCCAAATTGCCTGAGGTAGTTGGTACCGAACGCACAGCACCTGCAGGGGTGGAGCGTTCCGACAAGGAAACTCACTAAGCACCTGCCTCCCAGGCCCCGAACCTGCTCCCCTCACAGCAGGCCTGCTGCGACGAGGGACAAGGACGTGCTCCAGGTTCCCCTCAAGGAGGCTCCCCAGGCCCCAGTTCCTTACACAACGAAGGTCACATGGACACTGCAGGCTTATCACAAGTTGCCAACAGCACTTTATTTTTTCTTTTCGACATCCTGTTCCGCAGCTTCCTTGGCCCTTTTTGCCCGGATGCCAAAAAGCCGGGCGTTGGCACGGGCCATGCGGAGACTGGCGAACGCCTTGAAGTTCTTCTCTTCCTCTGTGATGACTCTGGCTTTCTCCTTCTTGTAGACCTGGAAGGGAGCACAGGCCCAGGAGCAGCTGTCAGCAAACTGAGAGGCCTTGGAGGGGCATCTGCCCACCCAAGAAAGGCTACAGGGGAGGCCACCAAAAGATTATAACAATCCCCTGTGGATTTAAAACAACCCCAAGTCATGTGAAGGGTGGGCGGGGCACTGTGCTTGGACAGGACCTGGAGAAGGGGAGGCTCAGGCCCACGCCCCACTCGCAGGAGCCTCAAGGGCCTGGTCAATTGCCACTCAGGTTACAGGATCACCAAACACCCAGGGTTGCCTACAGCCTGGCCTTTCCAAATAGAAGAGAAAAAGGACCCAACAGAGGGAGTGGTGACAAGTAAGGGTTCACAAAGCTTCCCTCAAGGAGTCCATCTGTTAAGATGCAGGAGACTCTCTCCAGGGTGGAAGGAAGGTCCTTTCCACAAACTTGTAAATCTCAACATGGGCCCCAGATGCCAGGCTGACTCCCTCCAACCCAACCCCCGCCCTGTCGTTCAGTTGCTCCCTCCAAACATGCCCACTTACATTCCGTATGGGCATGACTGGTCCGGTCAGCTGGGTGGCCAATTTGAGCTCTTCAGCCTGTGTGCAGTGAGAAGGGAGTTAGGTGGGTTCAGCTCATCTGCCCAAGCCTGTAACCCCTGGCTGGGTGTCTGCCAATGGATCCCTGTCCGTCTAGCCGATGGCAGGCACAGGCACATGAAAAAGCGCCAACCACGTGTGCAGCAGAGACACACATACAACAACTCTCAGGAGCCCATACGGATGGACTGTTAACTTCACACAAAGGTCAGTAACCGGAAAAACACTTTCCCAATTCTACGACAGCTGGCTCCAAGTCCCACAGCTCTTGCCCACGGTGAATCTCGGCAGTCCTAGTAATTAGTTTGTGGATTCTCAGAGGCTTTCTTCTAGGTATCTATCAACTCTCTACTACCTTGCATGAAGACCCAGTTTTGGATGATAAAAAGCTACAGACAAATACGTGTTCTTCTCAAGGCAGCTAAACCCCCGGTGAGACCTCCACGCCCTCACCAGGCTGGGCACAGAGGAAGCCCGGTACTCACAGAGCTGTCTCCCTTCTTGGGGGCCGAAGGCTTCCTGGGGAAGAGGATGAGCTTGGAGCGGTACTCCTTGAGCCGCTGCACGTTCGCCTGCAGGGACTCTGTGCACTTGTTCCGCCGCCTCGGGTCCACCGAGATCCCAATGGTCCGGGCCACCTTTTTGTGGATGCCGGCCACCTGCCCCGAGACAGACACAGATGAAGACCCGAGGGCTCCCCGGTCCCCACCCCCTGCCGGGAAAGCCCAGCCGTCAGATGGAAAAGGGTTCAAGCACACTTTCATCACAGCGGTGCAGCGATTCCGGAGAATGTCATCACTTGGCTGTGGGCCGCGAGGGACAACCCGTGGGACTCAGGACGCATGCTGGCGACACTCACCCTCAGCTCCTCCAGGCTGAAGCCCCTGCCGGCGCGCACCTTGGTGTGGTACCTGACCGTGGGGCATCTCACCACCGGCCGGAGCGGGCCGGACGCGGGGCGCGGGGCAATGCGGCGCGCCTTGGCCTGCCGGGCCTTGCGTCTGCGCAGACAGAAGACGAGCGGCGGTCATCGGCCGCCCCTCCCGCAGCGGGCCGGGAGCGCGAGTCCCGGCCGCCCTCCGCGCGCGGGGAGAGAAAGGGGCGCGCTCGCCTCGGGGCGGCTCACCTGCGTATCTTGCGCGC